TGACAACTGCAGGCCTTTGATCTCGAGTTTTAGTGGACGCATTATACTAATTTTTCGCACAGACACTCTTCGATATGTTACCTCTCAAGCCGCGCTGGGATTTTTCTGTTTTCCTATTTGTTTCGAAATTACATTCTAATTTCTGAATACCGGAAAGAACCAGATCGCATTGTTTTTTCAAGATAGCTAAATTATTATTTCTTCTCCAACTATCATGTAGATATATATCTCAATTAACACGGAATGGTGGTGAGTGTCATCTGAAAAACTGTTTTGTTGCCAATGTTCCACTAAATTTGTTTATTCATTGGTTCAATTATTTTTTTTAACGAAAATGGCTTTCTGTGTTTACACAGAGATCACGTGACTATACACGTCCATACACACACTATCTTGTCGATTTCATATCCAGTGTGAAATAAACTTTCCATCAATATATAGCTTTGTGTTGTTCAGTAAATATTTTATATGAAAATATCAGTTTAGAAAATCAATACCAAAAACGTGTACAGCATCCTTAAGTGTAAATATCAATATTGTCATCTGTATATTATTGTAAGCCTTTGTCATATAAAAAACACTTACAGCATTTCCAAGATACTGGGTTAGAAGCCTGCTGATTAGCAAGTCACATGTGCGATTTTCTTATCAGCAATCAGAAGATTTTCCAGATCAATGATATCACAACATCAGAATTGAATGTGAAATGTTGGCAACATTTTGCTGAAAACCCTTTACATTTTGTGTAACTTAGGGCAAAAAAAGTATGAAAGTTATGGTGTTGCTTTCATGACGGAGGGCCTCAACCGCATGATTGCCCTGGGGGTGACCCCTTTGAGGCTATTTTCTTAGAGAATGTTACGGGTGTTCCAATTAGACCAGTGTATATTCTCTAATAGTTTCCATGTGGGGCTGTAATATGCAATTAAAGTGTAACTGAATTGGGCCAATTGACTTTTTTTGTGTGCAAAATTTATTTATAAACAATATTATGAAAAAAAAAATCAAGTGAAAAGGGTATATAAATTGGGTAAACAGTCAATGATATTTCAAATTCGGGACACGCGACCATAAAAAAAAATCAAGTGAAAAGGGTATATAAATTGGGTAAACAGTCAATGATATTCCAAAATCGGGACACGTGACCATAAAGCAGGAGCAGACAGGATTGTTTATCATTTTCCATATGCACACATTTAGTAAACCAGCATATACAACGAGCTACCAGGATTGTTATTATGGGGAAACGCTGTGTTGTTGGCGGGTGTAGCAACACACACAGCAATCGCGCAAGTTTTTATGCGTTCCCAAAAGATTCAAATTTACGTAATCAGTGGACCAAAGCCGTCAAGAACACCAGGAAATATTGGGATGGACCTTCTCCTTATAATGTTATCTGCAGTGCCCATTTTACGCCCAAATCATTATGAATTATTTGAGTTTCGGAAATGAAAAACGGCGCAAACTGAAACCGGACGCAGTGCCAACAGTATTGAAAATGGATGACTGCAGAAGAGGAGATACAGCTGCAGCAAGCTGTGTCATTTTGGGGAGGTACACGGTCGCGTACTTTTCTCGCAGGTTCAAACCCGTATGGGCCAATTTGTCCCTGGCACTCTAAAACAAAATCGTGACATCTCTTGTTGTCATCATATTTCTCGATCTCATAACTCTCGTCAGACGATGATAAGATAGATTCTGTGTCGCTTTTCGAGCACTGCATGCTTATAGCGGCCATTGTGAAATGATGACAAATTAACCCCCATGACGTCACAAATCACCCTTGTATGCTAATTAGGTTCTCTAGTAGAAGCCTTGTTCTGAGTCGACCAAGAAATTGGACGTGGACGTTTCCTTATCCAGAACATTATTATTGATCGTTATTGATTTATGTACATTTTTCACTTGACATTTATTTCTGGAAATGAAAATTTGAGTCAATTTTCAGTTTTTACTCAAAAAATTTGGCTATTTATCACTGCCATTGAACACATCAGTGGCTTAAAAAGAATTTACTAACAATACAAATTTAAGATTGGTCTATCATAGATTTTTTCCTGTATATATAGCCATCCCTTCAGATTGTACACAATTACTTTTTACTCATGTTTCTACTATCTCAGAGGTTAGATGTGTTTTAGTGTGCATTCAATGCAGAATTCAAAATAGAAATGCATGATTGGATCTATTGGATCTACTAGAAGAACGGTTAGGAAACTCTCTCACTTTTTTTGTTAGGATGCAAGTCTTGGTAAACATTCAAAACAAAGGGAATTAGCATACTGCCGTCATTGCGGTGATCATAATTTGCATAAAATTACATATTCTTTCGAAAACGATTCCATCGATTGGGGTTTTCTGTAATTTTTTTTCGTAACAAATTTTTACAGCATTGTCAGGATTTAGTAGAAATATGAACACTGAATAATATTTATTACAACTTCCTGTGTCACTTACACTGCCACAGGCAATTGTCAGGGAAAAAAAGATGGCCGACATTGCTATCCGGAAGTGAAATGTCGACAAACTTCGATAAATTGAAACTAATATTGTTTAAACTATCATAACATTCTCATAAAAGACTCGCAGAGTATGATTCAAGGTACAAAATAAACTTATGAAACGTTCAGAGATGCATTTTTTGGATACAAATCTTCGTTGCCATGTTGGATATCAGCAGACGTAGATCTACTGAAACAATGAAAATTTTCTACATCAATCTAGTATTTAACCCGCAGAAATGATAACAATAAATATTAATTTAACAATGCATTATACTAAAATATTTAATCTGATTTTTTAGCATTTTTCTCGAACTGTTACGACAAAGACAGACAAAATGGCTGACGTCGCTAACCTGAACAAAAAAAGCATTTTTGTCTAAAATTAAGATTGAAACATTAACATACCCAAACAATATTGTAGTAACGAATACTAACATTTTAGAACATTCCCAGACAGAGTTTTTTGGGAAAATGCCATGGTCAATTTCGATTCACAGACAGCGAATCTGTCAACAAAACAAACTATCTGTATTTTCATTTTTTTCGAGAACAATGAAACCCTGAGTATCACAAAACATTCGCACAGAAGTCAGTGACACTTATATGTCTATCTTACGGCTTAATGAGCCCTATTTCTTCAATTTAGTGGACTCGCATAGAAAACGAACGACGCTAGCAATATGGTTGGACACGCATCAAAATGAAGTCATTGGTAAATAGCATATCTAACAATAGAGTTTCCTAACCGTTCTTCTAGTAACCCTGAATGAAGACAATAAATATGTCAATAAACACAAAATAACTTAGGTTTCCATCATTATGTCAGTTAACACAGCTCCTTTCCCTTCTTTTTTAGAGACATAGATGATTCTACTTTCTGTGAACACACAATTCACTTTATAGTTCGAGTTCATGGTTTCCGACCTAGTTTGCATCTGTCATATATCCTTGTTGGTGTGAGTATATAAATGTCATCTAGCTACATATCCCATAGCATCTCCAATGTCACCAGTGTGTGTTGCATCAGATATGTACGACCTAGAAATAGTGCCGTATGCGAGTACCAAGTTGCGAGCCGCAAGTAGCAAAATATGCCATATGCTAGTGGTAAAAACGGCATATGCGAGTGGTAAAATGTATCGTTTGCTAGTAGCAAAAAAAGCCCTATGCGAGGGGTAATACAAAGAGGGGAGGCAAGGGGGGTAGCTGGTACAGTTTTACGGAAAATAAAAAGGGCTTTTTACAATTTACAAGGGAAAAAAAGACGTTTTTACAGTTTACAGTGTTAAAAAAAAGGAACATTGAATGGTCCGAAAGCTCTCCGGCTCAAATTCTCCGCCATTGCTGCGCCGTGTGTAAGAGATGCACGCGCTATTACCCTCGTAA